TCTCTCTCTCTCTCTCTCCTCCTTCTTCTCTCTCTCTCTCTCTCTCTTCTTCTCTCTCTCTCTCTCTCTCTCCCTCCTCTCTCTCTCTCTCCCTCCTCTCTCTCTCTCTCTCTCTCTAGACTATCTGACGTCATCGTTGCCTCTTCCTATTGCAGAACATGGGAGCCTATGGCGTGGTGGTCTCACCGGGTTTCAATGGATTCCCAAATCCTTCACTCTACCTTGCCTCGGATCCTGAGAAATGCAGACGTCTGTCTGAAGACGTAAACAAAGAAAAAGAAGAGAAAGAGGAAGCGGAGAAGGAAGAGGAGGAGGAATAGGAAGAGGAGAAGGAAGAAAAGGAGGAAGAGGAAGAGGAGGAGGAAGAGGAAGAGGAAGAGGAGGAGGAGGAAGAGGAAGAGGAAGAGGAAGCGGAGAAGGAAGAGGAGGAGGAATAGGAAGAGGAGGAGGAAGAAAAGGAGGAGGAGGAAGAGGAGGAGGAAGAGGAAGAGAAAGGGGATACGGAAAGCCGCTAGAAGTCCATCCACCGCGACGCAATCTTCCCGGCTGTCATTTCGTTTCGTTCCCACGCTTTCCTGCACGACATGACCTTCAGGCTAGAGGGGAGAGGTGCGGGGGAGGACAGAGGCGGCAGTTGCACGCCCCCTCTCCTCCTAAGCCTTCTAGTAACGGCAAACCGTCAAGGGTCAACTGCCCAGGACGCAAACCTCAGACGCGTGGGTTCCATTCGTGCCCCTTCGATACGAAATGAAAAGCGCACAACCGATCCTTCACGGATGTCACGTTTCGGTTTAGACGTAGCCTTCTGTCGTTCGATCTCGTTCAATAGTAACCAGCGAAGTTCCGACGAGGGAGGCATTAGACCGCAGTGCTTAATTAACTATTTCAGTGTCCTTCACTCTCGAGTCTTTATCACAAAATTTCATTCAGCCGCGACTATATTTCCTCATGTGTTTGGTAACTTTCGTCTTACTCTCCCTTGTGTATAATTTTAAATATAATTAATTTTTGTCACATGAGCAAAAAACTAACTCATTTCTTAAGAAATTAACTCATTTTTTAAATGTTTATTTTATTCAACCTTTGGAACATCCTAAAACATAAGTAAAGAAAGTTAGGAGTAACAAAGAAATTAAGAAGAGACAAATTATTAAAATATTTTTAGTTTATATGAAGTAAAGTTAGTAAAACAGTCTTAGAACTTAGAATTAGATTCTTAGTAACAATATTTTTTTATTGTGTATGTTCACCACAAATAAATGACAAGCAGCATATACTTCTACACTTGCATGTATGTTTTTTATCGTCAATGACTAGGATGTTCCTGAACTGCTGTTCCTCTTTCTTCTTTCTCTTTTTCTTCCTTTTCTTTCTTTACGACTTCAGAGAGACGCCTGGGTTTTTCTGGATCCGAGGCGAGGTAGAGGGAAGGCTTCGGGAATCCGTTGAAACCCGGTGCGACCACAACGCCATAGGCTCCCATGTTCTGCAATAGGAGGAGGCAACGATGACGTCAAAGAGAGAGAGAGAGAGAGAGAGACAGAGAGA